AGGAATTTTTGGTGTCATGCCTTACATCGCTCCCGAAATATTATCTAGTAAACCGTTATTTACACAAGCTATCGATATTTACTCTTTGGGAATTATCATGAATGAAATATCAACCGGACAAAGACCTTTTGATGGTTATGAATTTGATATTGGTCTCGCAATGAAGATTTGCGGCGGATTGAGACCAGAGCTTGCACCTGGAACTCCTAATTGTTACATCGAATTGATAAGGCAATGCACGGATCCAGATCCGCAAAAACGACCCAATGTTGCAGATATTTCGAGTAAACTTGATAAATGGAATAAAAACTTTGAAAGTTCGGGCGAAAACGAGATTAAAAAGCAATTTCTAGAAGCAGACAACGTAAAATTAAATTCAGAACCACAAAAACACCCGGATCATATGTACACAAGTAAGCTTGTTGACACAAAGAAAATAACTGAACTTCAAGATAATATGAGTCAGGAAATCGATTTTAACTTTTGATCTTTTTTGAACAGTTTTTATTTTGATTTTTAATATAAATTTTTAATAGAAATTTTATGTAGGGGTTTATTTCATGAGTGATTATTGCTATATATGTTATACGTTAATTTGATTTATGCTGATTTTAAATTAACATATGTCAATTTAAATTTATACCGATTGGAATATTACATACGTCAGATTTAACTGCGCTGATAAAACTTACTGATAGCGTAGAAAAAATATATAAACTAGGAAACGGGAACGGATCCTGGACATTTAAATAATTTTCCTATTGGATTTTATATCTTAGTTTGGTTTTTGAAATACTCTTTTTTGTAGCATTTACCTTAATTTTGAGTTTCATGTTAATTTTGACTCAATGAGGCCTATAAAACTTATATATAGCTTGATAAATAAAAAAGTTTAATAAGTGAGTCATATATATCATATGATCTTTTTATGATTAGATGAAATTTATTAAACAATTGAATAATTCGATATTAAAAAATTGAAGAGGATTATTTTTTTTACATCCTCAAAGTATCCCTTACACTGTCAGCATGATTCTGGTTTTTTTGCCCTGCCCGCCAATATTATTACCATAAGTAGCATACGTAGTAAACAGTAGCATAGGTGGTGTTACGATACTTTCGAAGTCTGTACTATTATGTAGTAGGTTTATTATAGCACGAAATCGGAAAGGACAGATAACCCGTAGTTATATTTCATTGCTTTACAAACACCTCCTCGATGAGAGACAAAATAGTTTGTAGTACATTGATATTTTTGGTCGTTCTTGATTGTATCTATTTGATTTTGAACGTATGATCGTCAAAACAACTTCCTTGTAATTATATAAAAGGAAAAATCTATTCCCTCCTCATTAACTCCCTTAGAAGATTACTTCGACGTACAGTTGTAGATCAACTATATATTTGCAACTGATTGCCGTAAAATGTTTTATTAGCGTATCTCGCATTGCTTACGCAATGCACTTTAGTTTTTAAATTTTACTAACCAAATTTTGATAAATAAAATTAGTAAAAAATATATTGTTATACTTTATTTAGTCACTTTATCTAGCTTATGAATATAAAAATATTTGTCTAGTAAAAATATATTGTTATACTTTATTTAGTCACTTTATCTAGCTTATGAATATAAAAATATTTGTCAATTAAAAAAATTAAGTTGCCTTTTATTTGCATATCAATTCAATTTGTGATAATCAAGATTATTTATTAATTGAAATTTGAAATAATTATGATAGTTATTCATAAAATGGTTGCACAAAATAATTGCATTAGGATTGAGTAAGTTATTAAATTGAAAACAAATTAATTTTAATTGAAAATAATTATGTACCTTGCATCAATATATAAAAGACAAAGTTTATTAGGCATCCTAACTGGCAAAAAGATATCAAAATCTGTAGATTATATCTTTATAATAGATACAGTATAATCCAATGACATAAATATTTTTGCACCTATAATCTGTGTTAATTATAACAATAAAATTTAATTAGTGGATAAGATTTAAAGGTAGAGGATATGTAGATCATTTCTATTAATAAACTAGTTTTTAAAAATTTTTATGTCTAATAGTAAAAAAATTTTACTTAATAAATTTTTTTAAATTTTTAAAAAATAGTAAAGGAGACATTTTAATTCTAATGGTAGTAGAATCATTAAAATTGGCCTAATAGATTATGAGATATAGTTAAGTTTATCTTTATGAACCCTATTTTATTATTATAATCATGTGATTTGATTGGCCAATTTATAATCACTCCTGCAGAATAGGCTCACCTTCCGCAAAAGTTAATACTATACAAACTTCATCAAATTTTGTTCAAAATTAATAAAATTTTTAGAATATTATGTGAACTAAGCTGTCGGGACGGAACCAGGGTAAAGGAATTAATTGTTGACCATAAATGGAAATCGTTAGAAACCGGTTGCGAAATGATTGAGGCGTCAAAGTTCCGAAACATTCAAATTCGCATAATTCTCATTTTGTGTAATTGTATAATGAATAAGGATAATTTTGTGAATTGTGTGTAAAGGGAACAAAATAAGTTAGATAAAAAGTAATAATAGTTGTTTATGTCTGCTCCTTAATTTAGACTCATGCTTCATAATAATAATAAACAAAACCTTTAATTGTGTGTACTCGGTATTCTTTTATTTTTTCGATTATTTTGATTAAAGATTCCTTGCGTCTTCTTCTATGATCACTCTATCTTATGTATATAAAGGGCATTGTACTTCTTGTAATAAGTTTAAAGTTTGTTCGTGAACCTCTTATGATTTGTATATATACATATATTAAATTAAATTATTATATCGTCTAATAACGTATTGATAAATTTCCTTGACTATTAATTGATTTTCGTTTAACCCTTTTAGTTTTTGTCGGTATAACTATGTTTGAATATTTGTCATCTTTCTTATTGTTCGTGATCCGCCACATTTCCTTTTTGACTATAGCGGAAAAGAAATTTTATAACGATAAATTATATCTTATCGTTCTGAGGAGATCAAGTTGCGCGTGTTGTACACGTAGATTTATTTGCGCATAAGCCCCCAAAGAGAACTCTATCGAACTCTGATTGTTTTTATAAGATACTAATTTTTGGAACACAATAAAAATTAGATGAATGATTTTTCAACCAATTTGATAAATTGCGGAATTAGAAAAAAAATCATTTGACTAATTTTTTTTTATCAGGGTTCTCGGAATTTATGATAAAGGCTGTAATTAAATTTCAGTTCAACCTGAAAGTGGAGACCGTTCAAAATCATTTAAAATAAGGACAATCATTTATATTGATTTAGCCAATCAAGATCATAAATTTTTGTCATATGGAAAATATCTTTGTCATATGGAAAATATCACATGTTAATTAGCTAATAAAAATCGTAAATTTTTATAAAATAAAAAATAATAATAATAAAACAGAAATATAATTAAAGTTGATAGTTGAAATTTAAAATAAATGCCGCCCAATGTTGTTGAGTTAGCAAAACATTTATCGAGACCAACTTGATTTGGTAGTTTACGTTACATACTTTTCGGGGGTAATGTAAACCACAAAATCAAATTGGTCTTATTAAGCATAAATGCATTTATGGTTACTTTCTTTTTTTTTTTTTTTTTTTACTTTAAAAAAAGTCGATACGTACGTACGTAAAGTAATGGCTATTCTTATTCAAGAAAGGAATTAACATTGGTTAAAAGATCATCATAATTGATATTTCCAAATTTAGACACAATTGACCGGTGATGCATGTGAAATCAAATCTGCACTCAGATACGTAATGTAAGTTCTTATATATATTTTATTTTTTAAGCTTATAAGAAATTTAGTTTCATTATTAAAATAGCACTATCAAAAATGAATCACATCAAAACAAACCTTATCGAATACATAGTGCATTGCTTATATTTTATTTTATTGTTTTTTTTTCTAAAAATTAACCCTGTGGCAAATTTTGAGTAAATAAGCTTGTTTCTTACAAATTTGAATGTGATTTGTACAAAATTGGTTGCCATTTTTACAAATTGAATGTTATTTTGTACGAAATTGATTTCATTTTGTATAAATTGATAGTCATTATTATTGTTCTACCAAATGACTTTATTTACATAGAGGAAAATATATGGAAATCCGTTCGCTATCCTTAAAAAATTCTATATCAAACATCTTACTGTAAATGTATACTATCTAAGGGAATATTTCATTCTAAACTAACAGATCACACAACAATCAATTACATCTCCAAATACATATTTACGACTACTAAAAAACATATAACCTAGTTCAAAGTTAATCATTATATCTCATAGATGAATACAGCGAGAAGGAATCAAATATTTTATTACGAAGATCGTTTATATTGCATGATATAGTAATGTGATAGCTACTTGTATACACTGCCCAAGGCAGCCACGAAAACTGATTACCAAAACACAAGGACCTTGCAAACGCTAGTTTAATCATCAAGCGTGTTATTGAGAGACGGGCGGGGGTGCGCGATAAGGGCTAGTTTTCACTACAAGGCAAGTAATATAGAACAGATAACTTCTACTGCCCAATCGCCATTAAGCACTCTAGTAATTAGTTTCATCTTTCTTACGCTGCTGATTACATGTTCAAAAATATATGTGATTACCCCTTGCTTCTCTTTATCTGCTCTCTAATGATCATAGCAATTCATATTTCAACAATCACATGCAATCATAATGTTAACCAGAAAAATATCAGCACCTAAAAAAAGACTATACACAAAAAATCCATAACAAGTTAAACCGATAAATTGAACATGTGAACTCATGTCATCTGTAATTTTGTATGAATTTTGTACGTATTTGAATATCAATTTATATGACTTTGTGTGTCAAAAAATATAAATTTGAAACATTAGTAAAAAAAAACCATTATTTATAATAATAATTGAATCTATCTTTTCTCGAAATAATCCCATAAAACGTTTCGATTTCCTCGTTATAAAACAAACTACAAACTATGGTAAACTCCCAAGTCTGGTTAGACAATTATTATCCCGTAAATGGCACTTGTATAAGAGTTGAGGATAAAGAAAACTATGGCAAAACCAGAAATCAAATTGTTAATTTAGATATTAGTAATCAAAATTTAGAAAGCGCTTTAGACCTGGGCAGTTCATTTGCCAACCTAAAAACGTTGAACAGTTCATTTAATAAATTAACTGATCTCACTTGGGGTACGCTTTATATTATAGAAAAATATGATGGATCTCACAATCAGTTAAATGGCAGTTATTCTATAACCTCTTCTAATATAAAAAACATAAATATTTCTCACAATAATATCACTGCTTATAATTATAACACTCCCAATTTAGCTTATTTGGATGTTTCTAGTAATTTATTTACTACTTTGGATCTTTATAGTACACAAAATTTAGTGGAGTTAAAATGTTCCAATAATCCTATTTCCAGCTTGACTCTAAACCAAACTTCTAAGCTTGTTCTTTTTGATTGTTTTGACGTTAAACTTGTTTCAACTTCCACTTCTCCCCTCTTTACTCCTTCAACTTCTCTTTCCCCAACCGTAACAATCTACACCAACACCCTCCTCGGAACCACTATTGGTCTGGGTGTCTACTCGGGAATAAGCACACTTTGTTTGCTGTTCTTAGGTTTCGTTTTCTTTTACAAACGCTCTTTACTAAAAAATAGTATCCCAACTCCGGGTAGTCATATTATATGATAATTTTATAAGAAAAGTCAAATTGGAGTCTTTATATAATTCAAGTAGCTATTCTAATGATATTTTCTTTACCATATTCGAATAAATTATTTGTTGAGTTAATTATTATGCTTCGGCAGATATTAGACTATTCGAATTAGTGATGGGTGACGTAATTGACGAAATTTGACCAAATAAGTATTTCGTCAATTCGTCACTTATAATTTCGTCAATTCGTCATTGCGAAAATAATTCCGTCACCCATCTATAATTCTAGTCTTTTACATTAATATAAAAGTCCTCATTAATTTTGAAGTCTCAAATCTTTTCCTTTTCTTATCTAGTTAAGTTTTTAACTTTTTTTTTATAAGTCAACTTTTAATTTTTTAATTCTTAATATTTAGAAAATGTAATAGTTCATCGTTTCCGTTACATGCATTTTTTCCTTTTTTTAAAGAAACCATTTATATTTTTCCGAAATTCAACCGATTTAAGCTATGAATATTAGATATTAAGTTAAGATGGGTGTAAATTTATAATTGAGTTACACCAAATTAAAATTTGAATTTGAGATGCTAAGATTAAAAGTAACCTATTTGTGTCGAACTAAATTCAATATTTCGTTACTTTTATTAATAAAACTTTTTGTAACATTATTTGTTTATATTATTTTATACTTATACATTGTTCCCATAATTATGCTAGAATTCAGCTTTAGCGTTGCTTTTTGGCAGATAGATGCAAATTTGTATATATCTACAGTAATTGCAAGTATTCAGTCAATAATGAAAGTTAATAGGATGTATGTAGTGTAGTTTCATAGAATATATAATCTATTTCTTTTGTTTAATATAGTTTGTTGACTGGCTATAGAGAATACATGCTTTGAAATTATGTTTGTGGTTTGTATAGATAAGCAGTCTTTTGCATTTAAACTTAAGGTATTCTTTTTGCTTGTCACTATAGGAATGGATTTGAATTATTCAATAAAAATAATAGATAAATTCTAATTTATTTTGTAAATTATTTGACACCCTAACAAAATACACCGCATTTCGTTAATTTTATAACCCGTGATTATTATGTAATTTAACAGGATAATAATATAATAGGTTATTGAAAAGAATTAATATTCTTTAAAATTTTTAATGCTTATTTGCTAGATAATTTTAATATAATTGTAAAAACAAAAAAAAATACTAGTAATAATACATTAATGACAACAACGAAAGTCCATACAGAAGTATGAAACTGCTTGGATAATTACTCTATTTATTTGGAAATTATAAAGTATTGATAAGCCATTGCCAAGAAAAGTTGGTTGAGACAACCAGTTTGTTTACCGTAACGATAAAAAGCCCACCCGGACTTTTTAGCTAAAACCTTTTATTTTGGCGTAATAAATCGTGTCCTGTTCCTTTTATCTTAACTAGGAAAATAGAAATTAATAAAGTCTGAGGGAATACATCTTAATTATTTGTTTTTTGATCATTAATCAAAAATAGACTCCGTGGAGTACGATTATCAATTCAATAATATTTAACTCATTCTGTTCTCTATCTGTTAATTATAATTAATATTAACAATCGAAAAAAATTAATTTAAATATAAAAAAGTTAGATACCATAATAAAGTAATGAAGAATACATGTTTGCCTCAGATGCATTCTTGCGTCAGATCTAATCCGACGCGTGTCAGATGCCGATTTTCAGGTGATGAACCCCTGTAGATCACCCACGAAAAAATTTCCGGCACGTGACTAAGCCACTTCACTAATTTCTGCGAGATATAATTAACGTTGAGGCTAACGTTGACGCCAACGTTCACCACAACGTTCACCTCAACGTGACCTCAACGTTGACGTGAATGTTAAGGTGAACGTTAAGGTCAACGTTGAGATGAACGTTGACATGAACGTTAAGGTGAATGTTAAGGTCAACGTTGAGGTGAACGTTGATGTGAACGTTAAGGTCAACGTTGAGGTGAATATTGACGTGAACGTTAAGGTCAATGTTGAGGTGAACGTTGACATGAATGTTAAGGTCAACGTTGAGGTGAATGTTGACATGAACGTTAAGGTGAATGTTCATGTCAACGTTGAGGTCAATGTTGAGGTGAACGTAGACGTGAACATTAAGGTCAATATTGAGGTGAACGTTGACATGAACTTTAAGGTGAACGTTCATGTCAACGTTGAGGTCAACGTTGAGGTGAACGTTGAGGCGAACGTTGACATTAACGTTAAGTGAATGTTCACATCAACGTTGAGGTCAACGTTGAGGTCAATGTTGAGGTGTATGTTAAGGTCAATGTTGAGGTGAACGTTGAAATGAATATTGACATGAATGTTCACTATGGTGTACTATAGGTATCCAAAGCGACATAGTTTGTGTTTTAGTGTTTTAGTGTTTTAATGTTTTAGTGATTTAGTGTTTTAGTGATTTAGTGATTTAGTGTTTTAGTGTTTTAGTGATTTAGTGTTTTAGTGATTTAGCATTTTAGTGTTTTAGCATTTTAGTGTTTTAGCATTTTAGTAATTTAATGTTTTAGTATTTTAGTATTTTAATGTTTTAGGAAATTTGACCCAAATATGGTAGTTATTTTAGGCTAATAACAGATGCATCATGCATAATCATTAATGCAGTTAATGAATTTTGTTCTGATAATGTGTCTAAGCCGAATGATCAAATTAGCCAGAATTGCCCCAGAAGTTCGGATGATGATCTATGAGATTGCTGTAGCAACCGCAGCATATATTTTATTTTATCACTAATACTAATAAGCGAAGTTGTCTAATTTTTGATTTTAAAATAAGTTTTTCAATAGAAGTCTAGTTTCTTGGTTAGTCAAAATAGATTTTTGATTATTGCAGCACTTTCAAATTGTCACCTATCAATTATATAGATTATTACCCGAACTTCTGTGGCTGATCTGATCATTATGAATGATGCACCTATTATAACTACCATATTTGGAACAAATTTCCTAAAACACTAAAACACTAAGACACTAAAACATTAAAACACTAAAACACTAAAACACTAAAACACTAAAACATTAAAACACTAAAACACTAAAACATTAAAACACTAAAATACTATAACACTATAACACCTAAAATACTAAAACATTAAAACACTAAAACACTAAAACATTAAAACACAAACACTAAAACACTAAAATACTAAAACTCTAAAACACTAAATCACTAAAATACTAAAATGCTTAAAAACGCAAAATCAAAAAATTTGTTGCTAAATTTGGTAATAATTTCCTTTTATAGAATAATTTTTAGTCTATAACACTAAAACACTAAAATATTAAAATACTAAAACACTAAAATACTAAAACATTAAAACACTAAAACACCAAACACTATGTCACTTTGAGTACCTATAGTATACTGTAGTTCATCTTAACATTCATATCAACATTCACCTCAACATTGACCTTAATGTTCACATCAACGTTGACCTTAATGTTCATGTCAATGTCCATGTCAACAGTCACCTTAACATTGACCTTAATATTCACCTTAATGTTCATGTCAATGTTCACTACAACATTGACCTTAATGCTTACATCAACGTTTACATCAACATTGATCTTAACATTTACCTTAACATTCATGTCAATGTTTTCTCAACTTTGTTCTTAACATTTATCTTAATATTAACATCAATGTTCACCTCAACGTTGACCTTAACATTCACCTTAATGTTTATGTCAATGTTTATCTCACATTCATATCAACATTCATGTTAATGTTGACCTTAACATTCACCTCAATGTTCATGTCAACGTTGACCTTAATGTTTATATTAATGTTCACTTCAATGTTTACCTCATTAAAAAAAATACTATACATTTTATGTTTATTTAACTTTTTTTAATAATTTTATTATTATAATTACCATTGCATACAAATTATCTAATTTATAAAAGGTCAACAAAAAATAACAAGAATAATAAAAGAATGTCAAAAAAAACACAAAAATATGTTAAAAAAGACACCAAAAAAATATCAAAGAACATTGAAAAAAACACTGAAAAACATTGAAAAAGCACCAAAAGAACAACAAAAAAGCACCTAAAGAATATCAAAAGAAGCACCAAAAAAATGATGAAAAAAACACTCAAATAATGTTGAAAGAAACACCAAATAACATCAAAAAAACACCAAAGAAAAGTCAAAAGAAACACTGAAAAACATCAAAAAAGCACCAAAAAAATGTGAAAAAAAGTACTGAAAAAATATCGGAAGAAGACTGAAAAAACACCAAAAGAATAACAAAAGAAGCACCAAATGAATATTAAAAGAAGGCACTGAATAACAATGAAAAGACACTGAAGAAATGACAAAAAAGTCATCAAAAGAACTGTAAAAAACTACTGAAAGAACATTAAGAAAAAAATACTGAAGAAATAATGAAAAGATACTGAAAGAACATCAAAAAAACAACTTAAAAGGCACATAAAAATTATTAAAAAAATGCATGAAAAGTGCACAAAAAAAAATATACTGAAAAAATGACATAAGAAGCACCGTAAAGGGCACTGAAAGAACATCATAAAGACTACTAAAAGAACCTTGTAAAGATCACTGAAAGAACATCGTAAAGACTACTGAAAGAATGGCATAAAAAGTACTAAAAAAAAATAAAAAAACATTTAGCTGATCACATTAAATAGTAAAATGGAAAATGCATGATGTGGCATAAAATTGTAATAGTAATCACGTGTCAGAAAAAATTTTGTGTATTAATTACTAGATATTAGGTGATGCATGTCATCATCAGACATGCATCAGATTAAATTGCGAACAGTCTATAAACATATACCAATTGCACATACCTGACTTTAGAGTAAGTATATTAGCATGTGGCAGGTTTTAGATTTATCTCTATGAACAGGGAAAGTCTCTGGACACCTACCAGATCACATGATTTTGCACTTACCAAAAATTTAAAGTTTAAGTAATTATTGCTAGATATTTTATTCAGAGAAAGTGAATTTAGCAT